AGGAATGTACCTTTTCCAGTTGTACTACTTCTTCCTTTTCTCTTCTTTTGTAGTTTGTGTTTCAAATGGCAAAACATATTCACATGGTGAATCTTGGCATCCTAATCTCCGAGCCTTTGGAATCGTAGAGTGTGTGTTGTGCACCTGCAACATCACCAAACAAGAATGTAAGAAAATTCACTGTCCAGAACAATATCCCTGCAAATACCCTCAGAAAGTAGAAGGAAAATGCTGTAAAGTCTGTCCAGGTAAAACAAAGTTGATCACAGACCACCTTTTTGCTGTGCATGTTAAATGGCTTGGCTCAAGCCTTCTGGTCACAATAAGATCTGATGCAAACAGCGATAGCAGTGCCCACTGTTCTCAAGCGTGTGCAAAGGTCTCAACATGAGACAGGCAGAGCTGCTGTTCCTCAAATGAGGGGATTGCTGCTTGGGCTTGCTGCCGGGGGCACGTTATGTTCTGATCAGTCCTTGTCTTTCTCTCCACTGGTAGCACAACTCCCTGACACCTATTTCTGAAGAGACTATTACAGAGAGGTACACAGAAAGTTCATTATTGTCAAAAGACTCTCCCATCCTTCCCCCACTGCAGTGCCTACAGAACCTTCACATCATTTTTAGCTTATAAATTTGCATAGAGATAATTATCCTTTCTGCTTGTTAAAATGTACCAGAAGGATTCAAACCCCCAATTAGAAGTTGGTTGCTGTCAGTTATGTAACTTAATCCTTAAAATAAATACTAACTTCTCACAGATTTAGCATTGTTTCTATGCTACACTAATGACTGAACTTACGTAGACAGTACTCACTAAAATCAATGCCTACAACTTGTGAAAAACCTGCTAATATGAACCTGCTGATGGTATCAGCCATGTTCCATATGCCACAAGAGGTAAAGCAGTGTCCAGTTCCCTTTGGTGCCTTTAAACTTCTTTTCTCATCTGTATGGCCCATTTCTATGTTTGTTTGGTGATACACTGGGTGGAAATGCTCTGAGGAAATGAGTTGTTCTGTCATGTATAGAAATTCTTCCCATTTTCTTTGCTTACTGGGGAAGAGCATAATGCAGTGGCTGTAGGCAGGAGATACGTACGTAGGTCTTCTGGATATTTGTGAATCACAGCTTTTATTTGGGCTTATATGCTATGAGAACAGTCAGCAAAACCAGCAAAAAGAAAGTTACTTTTTGTTTGAGATTCTGTGTTTTTTAAGAAAGCTGAACCTCTTCCTGAGTCTGTCTGCTCTGTGTGGAGATGTATTCATTGTTAGGCTTTTCCACAAACAGCAGTCTGAGTGTCTTAAGTTGCATCATCTCTCTTGCATTCCTTTCCAAGTTCCAGTTACCAACAGAACAATTACCATTTCTACTTATGCTCTACGACTTTACCAGGTGGGCAGAGATAACGGGCACTGTGGCTAGCCCAGGCTTGCACTGGCCAAGCAGAATGTAAACCACGTAGGTTCCACCTTCCCTTTTCCTCACCAAAGCATTAATGTGGGTCTCTTCACCAGTTTTCATTTAGTTAATCTATTGCCTCTGAGACTTCCACGATTATATCAAATATGCTTGAAAAGTGGACAACAATTGTGAGGAGTCTCTCAGACTGCAGGGTTTTACACAGCTCATTTCCTTATGAAACTGGATTGTAACTACAAATCTTGCTATCTTGCTACCATAGACAGGCCACCTGAACAATATTATAGGTCTGGGGCCAAGCTGGAGATGGATTTAAGTGGCCATACAAGCAAAAATTCTACTTTTAAGCTAAAGCTGCTTGGCTATGGGTGCCAAGTAAGTTCTGGAGGACTTGATTACAACTGAATTATGTGTTTCGGGCTTTTTTTAAACAGAAGAAGTGCCAAGTCAGACCTTTGACAACAAAGATTACTTCTGTGGGAAGGAGACATTTCCCGTCTATGAATCCGTTTTCACAGAGGAAGGAGAAACCATCAGAAAAATTGCAGCAGAAACTGAAAAGCCACCTCAAATAGAAATACATGTGTGGACAATTAGAAAAGGTGAGTTGAGCAAGTTCGTTCTTTAAAGAGTGCATCATCCTCCATTAAAATCCCAAGACAAGTTGAAGCACCCCAAGAGTGTTCTTCTGGCTATTCAGGATATCGTGGTTACAGCCACTTCCAACATCCTCAAGTTCAGCTGTACAAAACCCATTAATAACACACAAAGCTCTAATTCTGCAGACTCCCACCCTTCATTGGGAGCAAAAGCACAGTGACAAACAGGTTGTCAATAATATCCTGTGTAATTTATTGCAGAGAAATAAATGGGTAGCAGGGTTTGAACCACGTGCCAAGAGGTTTTTATTTACGATGGACCAAAGAGCTCTGCATTAAAATCAGTCTGCCCTATCTGATGCCTTAGTGATGGTCTAGAATATGGACAAAACGTGTAAGGATGGAAGCAACATCTTTTACTAGACTAACTGGTAATTTGAACAAAATAGAAAAGTATTCAGAAGTTCAAAATCTGCAAATCCTGAACTTTTAGTACAATAAAAACTCTCTTCCACCTCCTGAAGATCCTGTCTACCTTATCTACTTAAAGCAAAAAGCATGTGATCCTCATAGGAAACCCTCATATAGCCCTTTACATGGAAATGATACCTCTCTAGAATGCACTTTAAAGCACAAAGCCAAGCCCAAAGTGTGAGCAGAAGAGAATTCACAGAGGATCAGATGGTTAGTAACTACTGTGTGTTCAAGAAGTCACAAAGCCTCGTGACAATTTGACAGTGATGCTGCCTGCTAGCTCATGACAGGCAAGATGGTATCTGACTGTAGAATGATACTGTTTTTTTCCAAGATGCTGGGATTTTGGCTTCTGTTGTAATCTTACGTTTACTCACACTAAGGAGGGGTTCAGCTGTGTTGGAAAAGAACTGGCTAATTCTCACACCCCTCACAAACTCCCTGCAATCATAAATCCACAGAAGGATTTACAGGCGAGTAGCAAAAAAACAGAGGGGTGGCGAACAGAATAAAAAAGAATAGGCTGAAAATCCATGTAATTGATAAGGATTATTTCACAAGGTGGCTCAACATGGTAGCAATTCTACATATAGGCAGGACAACAACCCAGGTTTAGAACAACAGGCACACTTCCAGTAACATGCACTTCTCATGTCTTTGATGAAGGCATTCTGCGTCACTTCTATGTTGAAAAAGTGTCCAAGAGAGAATTTGAAGAGCTTCCTTACTTCAAGCTGATCACACGGACAACCCCTAGTAAGTAAAATTCTGACCTCTTCAGGTTTCTATTCTCCATATAAACATAGCCTTGAAAAACATTCTCTTTTACTCAACACAGATGTACCAAGTTTTCCTCCAGAACATGGCTCCCATATATATAAGTTTAGATTTAAACAATGAAAATATAGCAATTTAAAATATAGATACGTACAGCAGTAGTTCCTGTCCATGCTGTCTTGGTCTCCTGTATTTTGTTAAAATACAAATAGGGCTGTTTTCTGCCCATACTGCCATAAGACTGAAACATGACTGACAGCAGCACAATCTGGATTTATTTAAGTGACTTGTCACGTTATCCCAGTTTTTAAAAAAGTCATTCAGAAGGGAAAAAAATCAGAGATGACTGAAGGAGTTCTCTGACATACATGTATGTTGTGTTTGAAACAAGCCCTTCCTATGTTCTTAACAGTATCTTCATTATTAAAATCTGTTTATTGAAAGGACGTGCAATTCTTTTGTCACTCTTGATCCAAATTCTGTTTTGTATTTTAACCAACCTGGGACATGACACCTAGTTTGATAGTTGAATTAACGTAGAGGCATTTTAAGTTCCCAGTGCTTTTGTATTACAAGTTGTCCTTATTTCTAGGGCCTCTAATTGGGTAAAGAAGTTTTTTTTTCCAGGAATAATATACTCTTGATAATACAGGCTTAGTGAGAAGCAGACACCTCTGCACGTAAAAAGTTTTCTCATTTTTGCTGTCAGCCTTCCATAAGCTTGTCATTGTTGTCTATACCACAGTACTGCAGTTACCAGGGCAACAGGCATTTCTATTCACATGATTAAAAAAATGTACAGAAATATGAATATCCAGCAAACACAGTTTGCATTACACACAGGTGTAGGCAGAGTTCACACAGTGCATGAAACACTTGGACTTGTTGCTTCCCAACTTTTAAATACTTCGGTTTATCTCCAGACTTAAGTCCTCACATCACTCTGTCATACAGCAGCGTATCCAACATCATAAATGGTTGAATAAATAGTATCAACTTTGGGTACTACTTAAATAAAGGAATAATATTCTGGTCCTTGTTTATTATTTTTAACAAAGTTACTTTGCATGGAATATCGTAAGATACTTTGAGTATTTTCCATGGGAGGACTGGACATTCTCTCTTTGACCATTGTGAAGTAGTTGGTCTGGAGAGTGCTTGTAAATGTCTTCAAAGTTCCCTGTGCCCTTTTCTAAGTATCTGTCTCCTTTGTGTTTTTCTTTTCAGGCCAGTGGAAAATATTTAGCGAGGGAGAAGCTCAGATCAGCCAAATGTGTGAAAGCAGAGTGTGCAGGACTGAGCTCGAGGATCTGGTAAAGGTTTTGTACCTTGAAAAATCTGAAAAGGGTCACTGTTAAGGGAGACAGCACTGGAGGGAGAAACACAAGAAAACTTATGAAAACTTGGATCTGCAGCTGGACTGCAGGCTTATTTTGCTTAAGTCAACAGTTGCCCTAAAAACCAAAACTATAATGCAGTAATTATTCACATCATGCACAGCAAATTTGCTGCTTTATGTGTAGTGGTCTGTGTCAACCGTTCAAATATCTCCTCCAAAAGACTAGGAGGCTCTGTGTTACCGGTGGGGGAAGGAGAAAGAGAGACTGTACTCTCCCAGAATTGCATTTCTTTACAAGTTAAAAAGAGAAAACAGAACATTTTTATTATTATTATTTGGCAACTTATTCAAACTAATGAAAAGAAAGACACCTAATAAATGTTCAGGAGCTATGTAGAGCATTATTTCCAGTGCTGAATTTATACCATTTCTGGTGTTGAAATGACTCATGGATTATTTTAGTAGTGGAGGAAAAATACAAGTGATACAATACTTGCGTTGGAGACATAAAAACCCAGATTTAAACTAACAAACTCCTAAGCAGCCTGCCTTTGGGATGATGTCTTGTAGTTGAGCAAACTGAGTCCATAAACTGAACAGCAGGTGTTAGTGGCAATCACTGTATTTTTGTAGCAATTTGAGCAAATGTTCGCTTTTAAGTGGTTTTCACTGTTTCCTCCACCCACTTCTCTATAAAAATGTGAAGTGTCAGCTCCCTATCACAGCCCTAACAACTTCATTCTTCTGGCCCTATTAACACACAGGCTTGGCTGATACACTGCCTTCTAAAGTGACACGGCAGAAGGTGGTGAAGTACTTTCAAAACACCTAACGGGTTAAACCTCCCGATTAATAACTCCTTAAAAGTTAGGACAGTGCTGAATTTATTGGTTCTGATTTGCTACAAACCGAATCGTCAGCGTTTTCCGGAGGGTGACCTCTCTAATTCTCACACGCTTCAGGGGCGGGTTTTTCTCCATGACAAACACCAAACAGCTACAGCAGGCCTTTAGAACACAGCAAGCTCTGTGGAAACTGTTATCCTTGTGAAGAACAAATCTGAGAGGTCCTGTTTAATGTAATATAGCATGTCTGCAGTGTGTAAGAAAGGTGCCTCTCATCTGCACTGCCTCGTGTGTGCCATGCTGGATTAAATCCCCGGAATCAAGTGACCCTGCCTGCTTGTGCTCCCATTTTCTACCCCACAAGCAGATGGGAATACTCTGTTCAAACACACGCTAGGAAACAAAGCTTTATGGAAATGGTCTGAGCCAGGGACTGAGTCTTCACAGGGAATAGAATCAACAGCGACAGTGAGGATCTTGAGGTTTGTCACCCTGCCAGTGCCAGCATGCCAGGGTGTACCCGCTTCCAGAGGGATGACGGTGTGGGAGAGCTTGGTGCCAAATGCCAAAAGCCCCTTTCAGGCAGAACTTCCCCATGCTGGCGGGATCCCTGTCCTGAGCAGCAAAGCCCAGCGGCCTCCCTCTGCAGTGCTGGG